GGGGGGTCCCCGCCGCTGCCCGCCCCGCGGGGCCTCGGGCGGCGGTCTCCCCTGCGAGTGGGCGTGGGGGAGCGGGCGGCCGTCGTCGCCACCCCGCCCCGGGGCGTGAGAGGAGCGGGGGCCGCCAGCCCCTCGGGTCCTGAGGGGAGGCTCAGGCCCCTGGGCTGTCAGGGTCGGTGGCAGCCGTCAGGCGCCCAGCCCCTCAGCTGTGAGGGGAAGCCGGGGCCACTGAGCATGAGGGCAGCCAGGGGATCCCAGCCCGACCAGCGGGAAGGGGTTTGGGGTATCCCGGGCCTTGAGGGCATCTTGGCACCCCTGCCCCCTGAGGGGACCAGGGACCCGGGGCGTGAGGGGAGGCGGGGGCCCCCAGTCCCTCAGCTGTGAGGGGAGCTGCAGGGTCCCTGACCCTGGGTCCTGAGGGGAGCCCGGGGCCCCCTGGGCGCTGCGGGGACCAAGGTCCCCAGGACGTGAGGGGAGCCGGGGGCCCTTGAGCCTGAGAGGAGCCGGGGCTCCCAGGCCCCGAGCGGAGCTGGAGGACCCCTGCCCTGCTCCCATCTCCCCGTGTTAAGAGGATGTGGACATCCTCCCCCCACTTCCCTCTGCAGGGGTCTGTGCTGCCCCAAACCTTGCTGGAGCGTCTGCGGGGAGCTCCATCCCTCTGAACAGATCAGATCTTCATGCCCATGGTTCTCACCATTAGGACATATCACCCATGACTGCCAGGGAGAAGTCTGATGTTTGGCAGTGGCCAGCAAAAAGCTGACTAATCCCACACTAAACACTAACTAAACCCCTAAGGATTCTCCTCCTTCCTCCCTTCTTCCTCACAGCTGCTAAAATGCATTTCAAAAGCTGGCTAGCGAAATAGTGTCTTTCTAAGCCCGGGTGACTTTTCGATGTAAAGCAGTCGCCACATTTGCTAGAAGGGCATTTGATGCCCATTGTGGGGAAAGCCTATCTGTAAACAGGAAGGCAGGCAAATCTGAGGGGAGGAAAAAAGTCTCCTCAGTTTGGTAGATATTCTGAGTACATTTCCCAAAAAAAGATGTGAAGGCTGTCTCAGGCATATTTTTATTTCTCCTGCATGACCTGGAAACTTAAACTAGCTGATTTGATAAACCCAACTCCTGACTGCAGAATATTTCCTCAGTTATGAAAAATTATAATAGTTCAGTCAGATACTCAGCAAAGAGACCTGGGTAGATCAAACTCGTTTTTTTAATTACAATATCCTAGATTTGAGACCACTGAAAGACCTGAGGAGACTTTTAAAATTCCCCTGTGCCTAATACGCCACAGTTCTGTTGGTGACTTAGCTAAGACAGATGGCATACTGCCGCCTCCCTTGGTTCTGCTGGGCAGCCATCATCCTGCTGATACGTTCTTGTTGGCTTACAGTCCATAAGCAACGCATGCAAGACATGTACAGATTTCAAAATCAGTTTCAGGACAAAAAAAAAAAAATTCTATCACAAGGCTTCGTTGCAACATACTGACATTTTGATGCAATATGACCCAGTGCCCATCAGACTGTGTTTCAGCTGACATACGCTTGTGTATCTTAAGTGAATCGGTTTTGCAAAAACAATCAATTCCATGAGCCATGATAGATTTTTTTCCCCTTCTTTATAATTGAGATGGACATCCAGAATTACACAATATACAGCAAAATTAGGTTTTTATAAGTATAGCGACAGTACCTGCTGCAAATTTGCTGACCCTTTCGGACAAAGTCTAGCAGGGCCTCTGCCCCGGTGATGCAGCAGGTGATAATTTTTCTTTTCATTTCATGACTAAGTAGTATCCCAAGGGTAACAACATTAAATATTTGAGGGGCAAGGTAATACTAGGAATGTACTCTTAACTACCTTTCAAAGTAATTTAGCAGGGGGAGGCAAGAAAGAAAGCTGGCATGCTATGACCAACAACTGCCTGTGTATAGCAAGAGTTTAAGAACCACTGATGTAGTGTTTGGTACAGTAAATTTTTTATCAGAAATCCTGTATTCTAGTGGTGAATTTGCTGCAGTCTGTGTGGTCTAATGCAGATCCCTCTTCTGAGTGCAGTTGTCTCCATTTGCAAAATGCATCAGTGATGTTTAGCTTTCTAAACTGCTGTTGTGCACAGCCTTAAAACTGTAAAATGTTATATAGTTGCCAAACGAAAAGACATACTTGATCTGTTTCTACAAGGATGATTATATTGTGAAATTTGAACGATATTATACATAATAGTTAAAATGCTCATCAAGATTTGTGAGATAGAGCAATGATTATTTGTATAGCACTTTCGCAGCTGCAGATTTCAATCAGCTACTTTGCAGAGATGGATAAGGCCGTTCAGACACCACGCTATGAATGAAGAAGGCCCAGGGAAGCTGAGGCCAGGATTTTCAAAACTGCCTTCTAATTTTCTGTCCTGAAGTTCGGGACTTCGGTTTTGGATACTTAGTGGCCCGCACTGACCTCAGTTGGAGCTGTAGATTCTTGAGTCTTGTTAAAAAATAAATAAATAAGGTGACTAAATCTGGACCCTCTCAAAATAGAAAGATATGGACTTAAAAGAACTGTCTTAAATCTCAGAACGAGTCGATGACACTCAGAGATACGTCTCCCGTCTCACTCCCGGGCGTACGCTCAATCCACTCCATCAAACTGTCCACATCCATCCTAATGCGGAACTCTGGAGTGACAGACACTGTGAACCACACTTTTCCTGCTTTATAATTCATGGTAATGATTTCTCTATTTAATATATAGAAGAAAGCGGTATTAATCTGAGTGTTATTTTTAGTTGGAATAAAGTGCAGATTGTATATATTTAATGTGCTGAAATAGGGCGATAAGCACCATATTGCATCCTTTACCCCTTACTAGTTTATTTCCTTACTAAGCAGTATGTCTAGAAAAACCAGCATGTGCTGAGGAACACAAGTCACTTTTGGCCCTTGGCTCCCTCTGATCCATAACAAACCTACAGATTGAGAGAAAAACAATCAGCAACCCCGAGAGGGAAGGAGATGCTGTTTCCTCTTCTGGAAATAGGACAGAAGCCAAGGAGCAAAACAGTATTTAACTAGAGCAGAGACGTACCAGACGCCAAGATCCTATAGCCTGTATATTGCAGATGGATGCCACTTAAAAATTATAAAGGATTCCTAGAATAGTTATTCCCTATACCTGCCAATTCTACTGCTTTGGTGGCAGAATCCTGCTTTTATCAGTAACCTACCAGATTTTCCATTGAATGGCCCCATACGCTATTTTCTGGACATAGCAGACCCAAAGCACATGTGATGTATGGCCAATCTGTGCAGGAATAGAGAGCCCAGGGTGTCCAGAACATATTGTACTTGTGGCGCAGCACAGCCCATCAGCACATGCACAGTAGCTCCCTCAGGACTCCTGCTGTTCTCTTCATTTAAAATGTCGGCAGGTATCATGAGCTATGGAGATTGTACTGCCGAGCAAAGATACTGTCTGTCATGAGCAAATGGTGGAGTCCGCATTGGGGCCTACCTTGTTTCATCACAAACTGGCATTTTTCCTTATCCTTTGGTGGGTATTAATACAGAAATCCAATGTAAAAATAGTCCTGATAGCAAGACATATTGAACCATTCTAGGGTTTCGTGTTGAAAATCTTTTTAATGCAAAAGAAGTAAATCTTACGCTTTAGAATTTCATAACAAATACACTGTGATTTGAATACTAACAAAGATCATCTTTTACCTTCTTTTCTTCACATAAAATACTAAGGAAAATATTACTTTGCTATTTCTGAGTATTTATAAAACCACTTTGAATGTAAGTGGGAAAGCACATGGAACCATCTGCTCCATTTCCTCAAGGTCTTTTAGAGGATAACTTTTACTGAACAGTATTCCTCTACATCAGTGCAACAAATACAATACATTCACTTTCTTAGAACTTGCATTTTTGCTCTACTGAATTTCTTTAAGGCTATTACATCTTTAAGGCATTTTACGTCTCCTAGGTAAGGTAGCATTATGTACAGTATATGAGTTCCTGTCGCAGATATTCATTATAGATTTATTATATCATGGACTACAGAAGTTCTTGGTTGTGCGTATAAGCTGTTTCTTCATTTTCTGTTTATTAACAGTACACTTTTCTGTTTATTAACAGTATGCTTCCTTAAATGTCCTAGACATCATTTACATATTACCAGCAACAGTCATATATAATATATAATGGTTTTAAACTAAAAGAGGGTAGATTCAGACTAGATATAAGCAAGAAATTTTTTACGATGAGGGTAGCGAAACACTGGAAGGGGTTGCCCAGAGAGGTGGTAGATGCCCCATCCTTGGAAACGTTCAAGGCCAGGCTGGATGGGACTCTGAGCAACCTGATCTGGTTGTAGATGTCCCTGCCCATTGCAGGGGGGATGGACTAGATGACCTTTGAAGGTCCCTTCCATCCCAAAGCATTCTATGAGTCTGTGATTCTATAAACTGAGCACTTCCATTTAAGTGACTGGTTCCTAAACAAGTAGTCGTTGGAGTTACTTTGACCAGAAAAATACGTAGCCTAGAACAGTTGTAGGTCTTGAAATATTTTGTTCTTGAAATGTCCAAGGAAAAATGGTAGAAAAGTAAATTTTTTGTCAATAAAATCAGCCATATTACATCTGCTAAATTTTAGCCAGGGTTAAAATGGTGAGATAGCCCGAAGCAGTAATTTCCGTGCTGGTCTTCAGGAGAGCAGAAACTGCAGCAATCCTTTTGTGAGTTTTGGAAGTCACACAGAATGCCTTAGAGGAAAGTCATAGTCTGCATGCAGTGTCTTACGTAGTTAAATTGACAGGATCATAGCCACTTGGTTAAAAAAATTTCTCCACATCTCTGAAAATCAAGCTCTTTCTTTGTGGAACAGTCGCACATCTGATGACTGGTAGGCAATGCTGGCTGAGAATCAAATGTGCTTTACTCATACGGAATAAAATGTGTGCCACAAGCAGCAGTTCCCTCTCTTCTGTTCAATGAGACGGTGCCGTACCCAAGGTCCTGCCCAAGATGTTCTGCTATCTGCAAGCCGAACAGCGTGGCTGCAGATTAGTTCATGTTGCTGCAAGAGCTGGCTGTTTTGACTGGCAGCTGTTGGGAGATTTGTGCTGCTTGCATTATTTCTGGAGAGCCTGGGCAGAAGCTTAATGAGAAACACTGCATCCTGCAAGAGTGAAAAGCTGAATCAGGACTTACGAGCAATTGCATATTATGAAATGCTGCACAGTGCTGGAACGGAGCTGGCGTTCATTGTACTGCACTGCAGAAAAAGACTAAGTTGGAGCAAGAAGCAGTTATCTTTTACCGTGGATGCCAATAGCACAAGACTATTACACTGTGAAGTCCTTTTGAAAAATTAATAGTGTACTTGATGCTTCACCTTTCCGGTGAATCTGAGAATTTCCATCTGTTAAAATAACTGCTCTCTCACATAAATTTTCATGCTTACAGACCCAAGTTCATG